AGATACTCTATCTCGCAGCAGAGTTTTAGCTCTTGCGCTAGAAGGAGTATCACGTTCAGTATATTCATTTTTGAAAAAAGCTCCAGATTATTGGAAAAGGGAAGTTTATGAGCCCAGAAATGGTTCGTAGACTTCGTGCAAACTTTAGGTATCATTTGAAGTTTTTGTTGATCACACAATGAAGAAGCTCCCTTTCTTTGGTTGGAGCTTTGTGTGAGCAAATGTTTAGGGGTTATTATTGATATACTGATTTCTCCAGTTATATGTAATGGATCACTCATGTTTAATGAAGAGGCCCTCTCTTACGCCTGTACGTATGATTCATTGTCGTGTGTAATTAGAAAATATTAACAATCAGTTTTTGCGTGAATAATAATAAATAACAAGTACATGGTGTAACATTTACGCTAGTTTAGAAAGATGAAAGCACTTGTATGCTTTTACGAACGCCTTTTAAAAATAAAAATGTGTGTGCATTCAAAACGAATGAGTCGGGATTCAACTTTCTTCAAGTCACCGGATGTTTACCTAAAGTTTTAACTTATTCTGCTAGATTCTAAGGCAAATGCAGACTTACCACAGTGCACACTGGCTACTGTTACTCTACGAAATTTTTCAATCTACGAACAGAGATGGATCTCATCTAGATCTTGTTACTAGGTGCTCCTATATCATATGGATAATATTAGTTAAGCAGACGCTATGCTTGATCATAATAAACAAGCATATGTATCACGACTGATAAAAAAATAAAGTTCGTGTCGAATCGCGGAAAAGCGTTTTTTTCATATTCAGCATAGTTAATAACCTAGAGACGAGACGTATTGCAGTAATAATATATTCTCTTATGTTGTCCTTTTGTACAGACATTCAATCATTAGATGCTCAGAATTCTATATACGTCAGATATAGATATAGATATAGATCATTACTATTGTGTTTCTGGTATCATCATCGAAAAAACGCAAAACTAATTATCATTCTAAAGCAGACATCTGAGTCCATGCTTTTTTTTCACCCTTTCCTGTCCAAAGCTCCGTATCCATGCTTATGGGCACCCATTAGCGTGTGTAATGGACATAACCGCAGATGTATACTATAAAGTGAATATTTCATTATCAATTCAATTAATATGACATGCGTATTAAAACATTCTAAACTTACAGAATTCTTGAGTTAATTAAAATTCCAAAGGCTTTAAATAAATAATAAAACAAAGTAAACCTTGAATTTAATTGACATATAATGTAAATACTTTTGTTGAAAATAACCAAGAATTCTGTTTTTTTATATAGTGGTTTCTGTTTCGAATACATATTCTTGCTGTAGGCTATACATATCTCATTGTCAAAATAAATAGTGTGGAAGTCTTTTCTTTCGCTCTGACTATTTTATTTTCTCCGATAATGTCATAAAAGTGGTCATAATGGGACTGTTCGTACTCTCCAGAAATTTTCTCCAGATAGATATTGTAGAGTTCGGATTGATTTTAAATTGAAGTGGACGCATGCGACTAGAGAATGACAGAGCCTTATTTCTAATAATCCCTTTGTTAAATTTCGGTAAACCTCATACATCTCAAATCTAGGTATGCATCGATATCCGTATACTGAATACTGCAAATACCAACTTTTCTTACTAGGACTTTTTGGGATTTTTTCATTTGAAATGAGATATTTTAACGTCCTGGACAGGCAAAACACATAAAAAACACTCAGCTATGTATTCTGAGCATATACAGATAGAAAAAAAGAAAAATTTTGTCTTTAGAAAGCAAACAAAGCTCTTGTTTTACGTCTCTCATTCTTTCTGGATGTCCAGGACGCTAAAATATCTCATTTCAAATGAAAAAATTCAAAAAAGTCTAAGTCAAAAAAAGTCGGTATTTCGGTATGGATACCAATACTGGTGCATACCTACTCAAATCCTAAAAGCCGTTGTAAGTTGTTTGTTCTACGTTGTAGGAGAAACTTATGAGCACCATAACTACCCATGAAAAACTGTATTCTTGTGAAAAGAGTACGGGAGGTTTGAAGACCTTTCCTCGCAGGTATATCTGGACAGGTATACTTAACGAAGAGGACGAATCATAAACTAAACTGATTCTCTCTTGAATCTTGCTATAAGATCTTTTAAAGTTAGAGATCGCTCTTATTTATTTGCTACCAGAAATAATAACACAACTCAACAATTTAAAAGAATAAGTTGATGAAAATGCTGCTGTTGAAGACTATGCACTTTACATCTCTTATGAGGAAGATTGTTTGAATTAGAATTAATTATAATCTATGATAAATAGCAGTATATCTCTCATCGCGCGTGAATCATGACTATTATTATTCAAGTTATTCTTACGCTCAGCTATATGAATTGTTTTTCCTTTATTATGCGTCAACATACCGTTGTTTTTCTTTCTGAGTCACAAGCTGTATCATCATATTTCCGTCGCTACACACTACCTTATTAAAGAAAACTTCTCTTTTTATGATAGACAAGTTCAGATCATTAGATACTATCAGTGTATTTCTCTTTATAGTAGGCGAGTAATACAAAAGAAAAATTATCGTTATGCCATAAATCTAAACATACTCAACTCCGTAGAAATGTACAGTCGCTGTTTTTTCAGGAGTAATCAATCTATGTAAAATTAGATTTTCTTCTACGAGGTTTCTTGATAATGAAACGAACTTTCACAAGGTTTCCCTGCATTTCAAGTCACATAGTTATTTTAAACAACGTGTTTTTCATTCATTCTAAATGCGTTCAAAGAATAGAGCAGAAAGCAACAAAATCGTATGCAATGTACAAAAAGTTGCATGAATAAATAGAAAATTTCTCAGTTCTTATCTACAACCGAACGGTTTATCAGAATGTAAAAATAATGGATGTGTGCTATTGATCTCATTCTATTTTTTTGTGTGATGTTTGTGTTTACTGCTTTTTTTTGTTGTATTTTTCTTAGTATTGTACAATGGCTGACGAATCGCTAAGCGTGATCCACCACGATCCATCGATTCTGCTCGATTTCGATCACCAATCGGAGTATAATCTATTCTTGCATTGAAGAGTGCATTATTCAAATTTCCAATATTTTGTGTTTTTTTATTCCATTCATCTTGAAATAATGATTCATTATTTGGATCGATGTGTTCAAATTCTTTGTTTTCAATCAACTGACCGGTACTGGGATCTCGTTCGCGCAATACACGATGACCACGTTCACCAATTCGATGCGATATTTCCATTTTCTCTAAATTACGACCAGTATCACGAACAGCTTTTCGAGTACGCTCCAGCCCTAGAATAGACGTATGACAGTTAACTTAAAGTAGAAAATATCTGAAGCAGGACATCATAAATGCAGAACTGTAAGATTTTAGAAAATATTTTCTCACTACTTCGATAACACACTGTTAGACAAGTTAACTCCAAATCATTTTGAAAACTTTCACGGGAGGAAGAATAGATGGATAGTATTACGTTCGAACTCTAAAAGCCTCTGAGAGATCTTAGTTTGTTGTTTTACCTTCTGGTCCTCGTAATTTTTCTGATGTAGCCTGGAATATTCTTGGCTGACCATTTCCACTTCGATTGTCCATTGAATACATTGTTGATGATGAGAAGGATACGCCATTCGATCCCATTTGTGAATCTGACATCCGTGTTTCGATATTTGCCATCATATTCTGCGTGTTGCCCATCATTCTTTGCATCACGGAAAGTGGATTTGAAAATAAATCATTTTCACCATTGTCACGTAGCATCAAATCGAGATTACGATTTAATCTTGTGTCAGAGCTCCTAAAATCTTGTGCACGATGAGACGAGGATGATGGTAGAGCATGATGACGATCAAAATCACCAAATGGCATATCGATACCGGCGAAAAATGGATCATTTCGAAATGATGAAAATAAACTCATACTTTACAGTATGTCGATACGAGTTTTGTGTGTAGTAAAAGTTAACGCTAACTGTTTTTTCTTCCTACTATTGTGCGGGATAGAGAGAAAAATATATACGCTCTTTCTTTTTTTTAATATTTACTCAATGAATATTTGGGATATTACACACAGTTTCGCTCAATATAAGCAAAGGAAAGAACAGAGAAATAGCTCACCTTTTTTTGGCTATTCTTTACCGTTTGAATGTAAGAAAAAAGATAAAAAACAATTATACAACAAACAATGTTCTCTTCTTTCAAAAATACGTACAACTACCGGAAATAAAGCGCGCTTTTCCTTCTCGCATAATTAAGAAAAACAAGAACAAGTGAAATGAAACCTAGACAAATTCTCATCCATTGACACATAACCACAAAGACATACAGGATTCATGCTTTTTTTCTATGCATTATTGATGCCAGAAGACAAAGAACTAACGTTAGAACATGATTGTTGCTGCTCTTTAGAAGATTCTATCAGATTAATACTTGCAGAGATCTGACAACATTTTTTGACATAACTACTTTCTTCAAGTTGAATGTCGAGTATCATGAGATATAATGAAGCTCACTGGATCCGATTCCTTTTAGGTTCGAAGGTGGTACACTGAATTTTATTTTATCTTTTGTGATATTAAACGTTCTATGACAAATGAACGATCCTGATAATGAACAGTTTTATCGTATGTATGACAGAGGTCTTAAAAGCATACTAAGTAGAGATCGGTCGCTGTTTAGCTCGGTCCGACGAAGAACGGCTGTGTTCTCAGTCTAACCTGGCTCGATCAATTCAATTTTTTACAAATTGAGTATACACATGGCTTAGAAATATGCATTTCCCAGAAAACTTAAACGCAAGGGGCTATATAAAGTGCGATTAATAGATTAGGTCCTCTGTTATGATACTCAAGAAAAATCTCGCCCTAAGCATGACCACTCCTGAAAATCTTTTAGACCGACCAGCTACGTGTTGATCTCTGATACCGACTCTATAACAAATGTTATAAGTAGGCGCACGCACCAGTTATATAACTGGTATTAGGGCATCTAGGAAAATTGTTATAACGCGGTTATTAAGAATCGCTCGAATTTGTGATACATTTCATTTTGTAGACAAATGTTTGTTCTATCTATTTGTTGAAACGAAAAAGTTTGAAGTTAATTGTAACAAAAATATGAACACTCTTAAATGTCATAACTGTACGGGATACAAGGTCACCAGTTATATAACTGTTCGTGCCTCTTCAGTGATTCATCAAAAAACGTTTCTCTTTTCCAACTTTTAATTTTCTCTACCATAAAAATCCGTAGAACAAACATTTTATCTACAAAATGGATGTTCCGCAAGTCTGAGCGATTCTTAATGACCGCGTTATAACAATTTTCCTAGTAGGCATGCAACAATCCCAAACTGGGAATCGCTAATCAGCACCGAACGGTTTGTTACCGAACATGTCCGGTCACCAAACGGTTCGCTACTGAACATGTGCGCTGCCGATCAGCGAGCCCTAGCTTGGGATGGTTGCATGCCTGATCTGGACTGAAGGCAAATTGACTGAAACTGAAGCTTTTGAAGAAACTAACCAGTGAGAAAATAAATTAAAGTACAATGTGAGCGAATATCTTCTACCGGAGCGCTACCAAAGGTTTAAAAAAAATAGTTTGTCAAAGCTAAGAACTTGAGAACGAAGAAACACATGAAAGAAAACTTTGTAAAAAAAACCGAAAAAATGATGAAGATTACACCAAACGGAGGAGCAGTCTTGATTACGCCGTAACCGTAGGTAGTCATGTAAAGAAAAGTTTGAATCAGAGCACCAAATTTATGTTTGTTTTATTCCAGGAAGTTGAAAGTACCTTTAGTTTCCATTATACCTGATTTACTCTCTAATTATTTACTAACGTGGCCTCTGTGTAGCAGATTGATTTACTTGTTTTTATGCAAAAAATGGTTTTCCTCACTATGCAAAAAAAAGTAGACAGACAGTTGCAGCTCTAATTTGAATGTATCTTTATAAGGTTTATGGTACTTTGTCCTTTGTCAGCAGAGCGCTCGTCGATGTCTCTGATGAGAAAAATATAAACTATCGTATTTGCAATCTTCGTCCGAACACGTTGGGTAGCGATCCGGTAGAAGACACATTCGCTCACATTGTACTTTAGTTAATCTATTTTCTCACTGGTTAGTTCCTTCAAAAGCTTCAATGTCATTCAGTTTGCCTTCAGTCCAGATCAGGCATCCAACCATCCCAAGCTAAGGCTCGCTGATCGGCAACGAACATGTTCGGTAACAAACCGTTAGGTAACCGAACACGCTCGGGTGCGAACCGTTCGGTCACCGAACTATTAGTTTGGTGCATGCCTATTTTCTAAGTGCCCCAAAATACATCGGAAATAACTGGTCCTTAATTCATGCATACCTACTTATAAACATGAGAATGCTTTGTTATAAGAATCGTATAGACAAAGAAACTACTGGCATTTTATCAAATTCTTATAAAAATCGTAAACACGCAGTACTCCTTCTGAGTGCCCGTCGTATAATAATTTTTCGTAAGATTTCCATGATAATGAGAGGAATTTCAATAAGAGAAAAAAAACTCCAATGCATACAAAACTGATCATATCAACTTAAAAGTCAGGGCCTAGAGGTTATGTACCATGCCGAATCGAATGGTAATACCAGTTTCTTTTATTTTAACCTTCATACCTAAGAGATGTTCCGGAGATCTTGTCTTGTAGCAAGAACTAGAAAGCGCCAGTCACCGACATTGACATGGACACAACTTCAAGAGAAGCGTGACTTGTCTTCATATCTTCTGAAGGCAGTAAGAATCTATGACTTACTTCTCTTGCTCACAAGGGTAAATGTATTAATATTCAGGTACACGTTTCTGCGGAAAAAATCTTTCCAATACTGAAAAAGTTCTCAATCTTTTATATGATCAGGTCAAATAAAGCAAATACGATTTTTATCGATCAAATCAATTTATTCTTTCATATTGTCTAGTGCAATTTAATGTTTCTTCTAAGTATAGTCTATGTTTTCCAGTTATTAAAGTTTGTTTGTGAGTAAGATTGAGCTCTAACTACTCTTTATTTTCAGATGTCCTGATGAGTACTTTTTGTAGAAGAACACAAAACGAGTCGACATTTTCTATATATTACTACACTGCATACATACATCCCAGTTCATCGTCATCGACACAGATTCCTGATAAGTAACAGTTAATTAGTACTGATTAAATTCGTCTTTTCATTGCAAGTTGCAGCACTCGTGTCACATGTTCTCCTATTTCTTTATTTAATTACAGATCATAGTTCATGCAAAAGCTAAAACTCTGCTGCGAGATAGAGTATCC